CTAGCTCTCCAAAAGTGAGATCAGGAGGGTGGGTTTGGAGAGCTAGCTCTCCAAAATGGTCAGGAGGGTGCGTCAGGGTGCGTTGTTTGGAGGGCTGGCTATGCAAAAGTGATCATCATAGTGGTGGTTTTGGAGAGTCATGCTTTAGAAAAAGACATTTTTTACAATATGTTCTTTCGTAAATGTTCTTTTTTTTTGCTATGCATTGGCTATGCATTACATATGTTTCAAGATGTTTTTTCTTTGATGTTCGTCGTTTCTCTGACTCTGGTTGGTCTTTGTGTCCTTTTACTGTTGCCATTTTGCTGCCATGATGTCTGGAAAAGAACTATGAAACATATGTTTACAGTAGCTAATGTATGTTCAATGCTGGAGACACATAGCATTTCCAACAACATTGGTTGCAATGTTGGGGTTCATGTGACTGCGTATTGCAAAACAGCCAGTAGGGACCCATTGAATCATGGAACCCGTCGAACCGTCTGCTGATGATCAAGCAGCAACACCTGTCAAAGAAGAGCCAATGACAGTGGGCAGTAAGTGTGACATGAATCAGGCTGATAGTCAGGCTGATAGCCAGGCTGACAGTGAGCCAAACATATCACCAGAAATGAAAGCATTCAAAAAAGATATTCGCGAAGCTGTTAGGGAACAATTGGAAGAAGACCTTCGTCTGGGTCTTCTTAGTGAGCAGCCGGCTCCTTCTGAAGAACCCACAGTCGCATCCAAGTCACCTGAGCCAAAAGAGTCCAAACCCAAGCCTGTTGGTCGTGCCAACCGCCGATTGGTTTCCTCCTTGCATGAAGGATTTGAATTCCAGGAAGACGCCCTCAGCTTCCTCCAGGATGAAGAGGGTACCGCTTCTGGTTTCGGATTAGATGGTTCAGATGTGCTGGAATCTTTGCACTATGCACTTTGCAACGACAGCCTGAGTACAGCCTATTCTGGGATTGAAGCTGTTTCCACCGCCACTGGCCTTATCTCTAGAGCTTTGTCACGCAAAAGCGGGCTTCCTCCTGTGAAGGTTCCTTTGCTCCACATGATTGAATGGGATTCAGAAAGTCAACAGGAATTGCTTTTGCTTGCCAAGCAAGACCCAGAGAATTCTCCATGCCTGTTTGGCAACATTGCCAGCTTCTATCGACCAGAAATGAGAGATTTGATTCACTCACTTCAGGTAGCTCGACTTAATTTGCATTTGTCATATTTTGTGTCGTGATCATAGAAGGTAATACAAATACCCATTGGCCCATCACCGGTGTATGCTTCCCAAGGCGTCCAACAAAATAAATAGACATATCACTTCATGCGCGTGTTTACAAAGAGACGCTTGGAACTAATTCTACAGCGCATAATGTGATAATCATGGATTCCGGCTCGCCGCTCAGGCAAAGCCTGGAATGTCAGTGGAGATACTAGCTCCTTTGATATCGGAAGGGCGTGCGATCACGCGCACAGCCTGGTGCCTGACGCATGAGCGTCTGTGCAGTGTCAAGACAGCAAGACGCCACTGCGCTGGCACGAGCTGCAGACCCTTTTCCAAGAAGGGCATGCGATTGGGGCTGATGGATTGTGAAACAGTATATCTTCTGTCCTGGATTGCCATGCGCTTGGAACTACAGGAGGCCGACATCCTTCAGGAGAATGTTTGCGGATCAGCTACAGACATTTTCTCGAGATTTCTTGGCAAGTTGTACTGGATTGATGTGTGGAAAGGAGATCCAAGATTGTTAGGCCTTCCATTTGCCCGAGAAAGGCAATTTGTGCGCTTTAGACACAAGGTGAAGTGCATGGCTGAATTGGAACCAACCAGCCGCTTCATCAAAAGGTTCTGGCGGGCAATCAATTTTGAGTGGCAGCAGGTATATTGTTGCCACCTCCCAGACTTCAAGGACAAGACTGTCGTGAAGGATGAGCTGAACGAAGAGTTGCGATGGGCGCAAAACAGGCCCAGTAGCAAAGCACATGACATGCCACAAATCACTATCGACAATCATGAGAATCCCTTTCGGGCCTGTTTGACTGAGACGGAGGAGCTCTTTTGGCAGGGGTATCAGATTCGAAATCCTGGCAAAGCTGGCCAGTTGAACCAGGACTCTCTATCTGCCTTTGGACATGCCAGCTTAGACGGGTGTTTGCACACCCTGATCGCAAACTGCGGTCTGATCATGAGCGATTCCTGCGTGCCTGAGCGTTGGTTGATTGGTACTGAATGTCTTCTGGTGCAAGGATTTCCTGTTCTTCCAGGGTTTTTGGAGGAGGGTGAAGTGAGACTCGGATCTTTTGATAGTTGGTGGCGTGACACGTTTACTAGCTCTAGTTGTCATGTGTCACAAATGGCTTAAACTTAAACTTTGAACTAGACAATGTCCATTGGGAGGTAGAGAGCAGTCGTCAATTCAGTGAGTGCCATCTGGAGTTTCAATCAAATGATTGTATGTGTTGTATTATGTTTATTAAGTTAATAAATATCATACAATCATTTGATTGAAACTCCACATGGCACTCTTCAGGGTTGATTGTTTTGCGGTTGGTTGGATGCTTAGTTGTCAACTTGTCAACTGTTGACCGACAATAAAACACATACTGAATACTGAATACTGCTCCAGGCTCAGGTAAATTGAGTTTGTTGATGCCATTGGGCCAGTGTCGGGTCAGGCTCAGGTCTTACCTTTTGTATGTCTGAGTATTTGGGATGAGTCTGTCTCCAATTGCACATGACAAACAAATGAACAAACACACGTGAGACAGACATCAGACTTGTGTTTGGGACTGTTTGCTGTTTGCTTGCTGTGGGAAGCGACTGAAGCAGCGTGAGTGCGTGATGTTGTAAGAATCATTGAGCTATCATTGCTCTAATGGCCTAACATAACCACTAGCGTTGCAGCGTTGATGTTTCCTGTTTGACTTGTTTGACTCTGACCGTGTTTCCGATTTGACTTGTTTGACTCTGACTGCTTTGTAATTCTTGGAGTTCAATCTCTTGACTTTGACTTTGACTCTTGTTTTATGGTATTGAACACACTGAGAGTCTCTCGTTTCTCACTCGCTGCTTTCTAAGGATCTGCAGCTTCAACATTTCCCGGTCGGACAGGAGATCAAGAGTCGTATGCAAACAAGCTGGAGATTCCATGAATGTAATGATCATGAGTGCCTTGGCACTCCACGGCCTTTTGTCATGGCCAAAGAGAGAGTGCTCACTGATGATGCGGAACATCTATGTGGGTAAGCAAATGTTTCAGCAAAGCCTTATCGAACAAAAGAAAAAGCATCCTCACGGAAAGAGATTAAAGGGAAAAACACAAGTGGCAGCCGTGTGGAATCAAGCGATGGAAAGAAGCGATGGCTCAATGCGTTCTGTTTGTGGGCAATCTACCAACAGTGCTCATGCCTCCGCAATTCCACCATCTACCAGCAAAACCACTAAGCAAAAGCGCTCAAAAGCATTGACACAGGAACCTGAAGCTTTTGAAGCTAGCGCTTCTGCACCCGCCAGTGAGGCCAGTGAGGGTACCATTCCCATTGCACCAACAAGATTGCGTCAGGCACTAGCTGCTGCAAAGAAGAGGAGACTGCAAAGTCTCAATCAGTAGGTAGCAGGTAGTACGCGAGTAGGCAATTGTCGAGGCAGCGTTTGGGTCCAAATAGCGCAAGCAAACTCAAGTGGAGCAGTTTCCAAATAGCACATGCAAACTCAACTCGACTCGACTCTGTTTTAAGTTTTGTGTGCAACAAAGTGATGAGCAGTTTTAGAAATAGTTTCCTTAGTCGCTACGTGGAATGGCTTCTGGACCCCAACTCTAATTAGATCCGATTCCAGTAGCTACTGGCTACTGCTGCAGCTTCTCTTTCCAAATGTCACTGGAGAAGCCTGGAGGTCATTGACTCACGAAGCTGGTCCTTTTTACTCAGGAAGCAAACACTCTTCACACAGATATATATCATATATCTATATACACTTACATACACTATAGTACCTTGGTCCTTTGTGCTTGTCAGGCTCAAGTTTTGATATTACCATTGCACAAAGCACAAAGGAATATGCGGCATATGCCTTATACTGTAGTAATTGCACAGCTTGCAGGAAGCAGCCACTTAAGGGGCCACCATTGCACAGGTAGTTGGGTGGCTGTTTGCGAAGCAGTTTACATGACACTTGGAGGGGCCAAGGCCAAAAGCGGTATCTGCGCGTATTGTCGCTGCGTCGCTTGCGTTTCTTCTTTCTGTTTCAATCTTCGCATGCGACCAGTGAGATTTCTTTTGTGTGATATTGGACTTTGAATTTGACACTTTGAGCAACTTCTATGATTTGGATGTTTTTTTGCGCAAGTCAATCGGATGATGGATGAATGATGATTTTATGAATGATGGTAATGATGGATGGATGAAAGGAAAAAGAAAGGCAAAAGGTGCAACAGGTGTACGTCAAAGTCAAAGTTTGCTGTGTCCAGTTTCATAGCTAGTGGAAATCCAGTCAGCGTGTGAGTACAGCGAGAGTCTAACTCATTCATTCATTGGACTATTGGAATTGACACTGTCATCAGACTGGTCATCAGATTTCTTTCTGCAGCCATTTTGGTGAAGACCGAGTCTCAATCTCAAAACTCTTTGCCGGAACCCAGTGTTTTTGCCTGTTTGCTCTCGAATGGCGCCAAAAACCGGAGGGGCCAAGAAAGCGAAGGTAATCAATGAGGTGATGAACAAGAGGCCATCACAGGCCCAGGAGTCATCATCCAAGGGAAGCGGTGCAGAGCCAGTCAATCATCAGGAAGAAATGCCTGAGAATCGGGGCATACTCTGGGGCAAATCCAAAGAGGAGTGTCAAAACATGAAAGACATCGACATTTATGCTCCAGATGTTGACATCAACCTTCTATTCGGCGACTTGCACGGTGCTGCTTTGCTTGACAAGATCTACCAGGTCTACGGTGACGGTGTGTTTGATGTATCCTGGTTTGTGGTTGGGCCCAATGGCAAGTCCGAGTCAGCTTCACTTCCAGCTTCTTCTGGCTTACACAGGGCAGCTGGTCTACAAAGGACACGGGTGGGTCACCGGTACGGGCTAAACTTGCATGCCGTCAACAACAACTTCACTATAAGCTATCAAATAACTATATATACAAGACACACTCTTCAGTCAGTCTACTTGTGTTTCCATCAGGTAAGTGAACTGTGAATTTAAAGGCAGCGCATCAGTGCGTTACTCCCACTGCACAAGTTATGATTTCTGCACTTGAACTTGGAGTGGTAGGTAGGTAGATTGGTAGACTGGCACACCGGTCTGGAGTTGTTTCGTGTACTAATTCAATCATCGATTCATTGATTCATTCATGCATGCATGCATTGCATTATGTTTTTATTTATTATATATGCATTTGTTCATTTGTTCATGTATTCATTGAGTTATTCATTCATTCATTCATTCATCATTCATCATTCATTGAATCCTTCATTTATTCATTCATTGAACAACTTTGCAGTGGCTGGATTCGTGGTCACTGTTCAGGAGTGTGGAGAGATCGCCATTAAGCCGGCCAATACAGGAAAGCACTGCAGAGTGTTACAAGGTGGGTGAGCCCAGTGCAGGTGGCAGGTAGTATTTGCTCCAAGGAATGCTTCTTTGTATAGAGTCGAGTATAGAGATTGAGATCATGGAACCAAAAGCAAACCCTTAATAACTTAATGACAAACACGTTCAACCAAGAGGTATTGAAGATCCCACCTCATTTCATAAGTCCAGGATAGAACTGAGAGGCTCTTCATATTTCCTGCTGTGGCCGCCATGTTCCCCCCCTTCATCCTGCTTGATATGATTCTCAAATCTCAAATTGTCAGGCGCGGGTGCTTCGAGAAGGGCTATCACAATTAGCCGCAGGAGAACCAGTGCTCAAGTGGAAGGATTCCTCTCGCAGCCTTCCTGCTCACGCAGGAACATTCAATCACCGTGCAGAGGCTTTCTATAGAGCCTTTGAGTGTGAGCCAGGGAATCCTCTGGTGGCAGAGGTGGCAAAGCGAGGACTCACGGATGTCAAGTTCATGTGCCTTAGCTAGATTTGTTTTCAAAACAACAATTTTTTCAGTTGACCAGCTGAAACGTGACTGGTTGAACCTGGTCCTGGAAAATCGCAAAACTCTCTAGCGCCAGCGCCGTTAGCGTGTTTGTGTGAAGGTACTGGTGTAGTGTTCTAGTTTACCAAGTACACAATACATAGGACAAAGGATATCGGATCACATTGTGTAAACCAACCAGTTCACGTTCACGCTGTATAGTTATATACTGTTGGAAGGGCATATTCGTATTCGTTGAAAAGGCCAAGTGAAAGAGTAAGGCAAAATGACACCGACCTACTAAAATATCGCTTTTTCCTTGCCAAGTAGCTACAAGGCACATCCCATTGACTTACAATAGACTGGACCAATGAATTATGAATCAAATCAAATGTTTCAACATAATTTGTGTAACTAGGTAAGAAGGCAAGACAGCAAGACAGGTGGCAAAACTAGGTTGTAAAGTAAGATGGGTTCTGGGTTTATACTTTCTCTACTTTCCTGCTTTCTTTCGTCTCGTTACTAAGGACATGGTCTACACCAGACACCGTGTGGGCTAAGTTCATTTCCACACACAACAGCTTCCACAAAGGAAGTGGCAACTCCTACATGGAGGTGGGAATGGATGCACTACGTGTGGAGGCGATGTGGAAGGCAGCGTGCACGCAGTCAGGAATGAGTCACTTGGACTGGAAGTTGAAGTTGTCCTTCAGTTAGTTTGTGAAGGTGCGTGCTACTACTACTACTACAGCAGCAGCAAAAGTGACAACGCAAAAATAACTTAATAACAGCAACAGCAACAGCAAGCAACAAAACAACAAACATCAAACAACAATCAGCTATCAACCAAGCACTAGCAGCAGCATCACCGTCATCACCGCCACTAACAACAACAACAACAACAACAAACAACAACTACAACAGCAACTTACTACTACTACTACTACTACTACTACTACTACTACTACTACTACTA